TTAGGGTTTTGGGTTTTGGGCCCGACACCCTGAACCTTAGGCCAAGTGTCCACAGCCGTATTGACCAGCGATGACCCTGCATCAACGATTTGTTGGATGAACTTGCCCGACCTGCAACCCCCTAGACCTATATTTCAAAAACACTATCCCTAAACCCCAAACCCTAAACCTAAACCCTAAGCCTTATATCACAACAAAGCCAAAAGAATCCCAAGCAGGCTACAGCGACACACTCTCGTCCAGGGATTGCTCTGTACTCTCCACTTTTTGGCGAGCCTGTGCATCAAGGTACCCAGGTGTAGGGTATCGGGGTTTAGGGTTTAGGGGGCTGCCCACTGAAAACACCATATGGAGGTTTCCCAAAATTAGGGGTACCTCTTTGGGGGTCCAATGGGGTCCATATAATAAGGACTATAGTAGCTGGGTGTCTATATAGATGTCCCCCTATTTTGGGAAAGTACCATATGAAGAGGTAGCGGTTGGGGTTCAAGTTCCAAGGTCTAGGATTTAAGGTACAGGGTCAGGTTTCAAGTTTTAGGGTCTAGGACTTGTGGTTTAAGGCTTGGGGTTTCAAGTTTTAGGGAGTACGATTCAGGGTCTAGTGTTTCGCCTTTATGGATCGACGGTCTTGGGCCAGAAGTGCATGTTTATGCGGAAAGGTACTCTGCCAGCAACCGTCCACCCAAAGGGTTAGGGTTTCGGACTTAGGTTTAACCCTGAAACCCTAAACTCTAAAAGCCTAAAACCCTAAACCCCTAAAACCCTAAAGCCTAAAACCCTAAACCCTTAACCCCTTAACCCCTAAACCCTAAACCCTGAACCCTAAAGGGTTTTAGGTTTTTAGGGCTTAGGGTTCACCTCAGAGCCCAAAAACCCTAACCCTAAGCCTACTTGGAGGTTCATGGGACTTAGTAACTACTTAGGTATCCTTAAAGGGGCTATAGGGATATATAGGGTTTAGGGATTAGGGTTTAGGGATTAGCATTTTTAGGGTTCATGGGACTTAGTCACTATTTATAACTGGGGTTATAACCCTACTTATAAGTGGGGTAACCCCTATAAGGTCATTTAGGGGTCTATCAAGTAGGGTTATAAGCCCAGTTATAAGTAGTTACTAATTCCCATGAACCTCCAAGTAACCCTTGACCGTCTCTAAGCTCAGGTGCCCAGGACGCTCCTGCTAGCGCCGTACTCTGGGGCTGTGTGGTTTGTCACTTAAGGCTTTGGGTACCAGAGTATGGCAGTTTCTCAAAAAGGTGGTTAGGATGGGACCCCAAAGTCTTCGCGAAGAATGGGGTCCAGATTAGATTGGGGATTCCGTCAGGCTTACTCGAGAAAGGCCAATGTACTGCAACAATCTGCTACAGTAAGGTACAACATTGAAGGGGGAAGTACCTAACACATCCCAACAGGCTTCATTACAAAATGATGAAAGGCAAAGTGCGGGTAACTCGAAGGCAATTAGGCATACGGCTCAATATGTGGATAAGGCACAGCAACGACGAAAACAAGGTACGGAAAAGGTGTCGTAAAGCTGCACAAGATGGGTTGCAGGGGCTTCTGCAAGAGGTGTACGGAAGGTCCAAAAGGCTAAGTTCCGTACATGTTTTCGCAAGGTTACGGGCGTCCAAGCATTGGCCAGGACGATGCCGAACCTTGTGTGAATCATGTCTTTTTGGTGCCTATTTTCTGCCTCTGGCAAACCTCTGCGAACTGCCGGCAAAATAGCTTTCTCGCAGCTTTTCTACGCCTTTCAAAGCCTCCCCGAAGTCTCGTGTTTGCAGGGGCCCTTGAAGTCCTGGAAACAAGAATTGGAGAAGATTGACGCCAAAATAAAGCCAAAGACAAGGCAGAAGAAGGTGGGACCCAAGCCAGGGGAAAGGCAGCCACACAGCAACACCGAACTAACCCCAACATATCCCTATATAATCCCTATAATCCCTATATAACCCCAATATACTATAGTAGTTTCCATTTTATTTTCCATTATCCCTATATAGCTTTGTTGATCCCGTAAGCCCTCAGCCCTAAAGCCATGGGATTCCTGTAGTCGTCTAGGGTTTAAGGTTTAGGGTTTAGGGTTTAGGGGTTGATCCGATCACCACATGGGGGTTTCCCAAAATTAGGGGTACCCTTTTGAGGGTCCCTATAATGAGGTATAATATTTTGGGGTCTATATTGGGGTCCCCCTATTCTGGGAAGCTACCACATGAGCACTAGCACTAGCTCACGACTGCAATGCATTGATTGGAAGACCAGCAAGAAATCATTGCCTTTCAGCTAGCTTTTATCTACCTCTTCGGCAGCTTTACCAAAAGAAGCAGGTCACCTGCCTTGGAGCTTTTCTCCAACTTTCTATAATCACCTCTTGGTCTATATAACCGTTTTGCCTCTCAACTACAGCATATTCTGGAGTACTGCCCCCACCCTCAGTGACAGTTGGATAATCATTATAATATGGTTATGTATAGCCCTTAATAGGACCCCTAATATACACTGTTACTGGGTGGGGGCAGAACCCAAAGCATAGTTAAGTTCACTGCGCTAGGCCTTCCTCGGCTGGGCGACCCCTTTCCAACAACTTAGAGTTTAGGGGTTTAGGGGTTCGGGGTTTAGGGGAGGGCTGTTCTACCCCCAGGTATACTTGCAAGGCCCCTAAACCCTAAACCTTAAACCCCAAGACCCTAAAACCTGCAATCTCCACCCCGGCTTCGGCAAACTAGCAAAAGAACGCGGACCTGGCGCTGGAGCAAAGACTCTTCCTGAGCCAGATAGCTAGAGGACGCACACGGTTGAGGGGTTTAGGGCTTTCAGCCCTCCTTAAATCGATAGAATATGGGGTATATGGGGATCTTACTATATACCCAAAGCCATATTTTACCTACTTAAAGGGGACGACTGTAAGGCTATGATGTTCTTGGAGGGCGGGTGGTCCAAGGGGACTATAGGACACCTAGTACGGTAACCCCAGTCCTCCCTGGTACTTCCTGTCCTTCCCAATGGCTACTGGCCTTGGGCACACCCCCTTGAGGACATGGCAAGTTTTGTGCGTAGGGTTCCATGGTTGGCCCCCCACTACGGCACCCGTTTCGGGCTTAGGGCCCCACACCACCTCCAATCGTAAATGACCCCATAAAACCATTACATGTCAGGGAAATGTCAAAATCCTAAGCCCAAAACCCTGAGCCCCAAACCCTAAGCCCAAAACCCTGAGCCCCAAACCCTGAGCCAAAAACCCTGAGCCCGAAACCCTAAGCTCAAAACCTTTAGCCATGAATCCTAAGCCCGAAAAGCCCAAAACCCTAAACCCAAGAGGTTGGATACTGCCCCCCCTCAGTAGCCCTTAATGGGACCCCTAATATAGACTGTTACTGGGGGGCGGGCAGTACCCAACCTAAACCCTAAACCCTAAAACCCTAAACCCTATATAACCCATTATTTTTCCATTTTCTGTTCCATTTGATTCTCCATTATTGGGGTATAATCCCTAAACCCTTATATAGTACCTAAACCCCATATAACCCATTATGGTAGTTTCCATTTTCTTTTCCATTATCCCTATATATTACCCAGCCTAGACCCAAGGGGGTAACAGGAAGTCCTTGCCCCTAAACCCTAAACCCGAAACCCTAAACCTGAAACCCTAAACCCTAAACCCTAGTCCTTGCTGTAGTCCGGCTCCGGACTTGCCTCTGCCGCAGGCTCAGGCACAACGTCCTGGCTGTCGTCTTTGTTAGGGCTTTAGGGTTTGGGGGTTAGGGGTTAGGGGCTTAGGGTTTAGGGTTTAGGGTTTAGGGTTTACTGTAGGGGTACACAATTTAAGGCTTTTGGGTTTAGGGTTCAGGGATCGCTGGGAACCCTAAGAAGCTTATGTCATGTGAGCCACAGTCTAAACTCCAAGTATTCCCCTTAATACACCCTTATAACCTACATAACCCCCCATTCTAGCCCCTTTAAAAAGTTTAGAGTATAGTTCATGTAATGCTTGCACATAGACCCTGGTGGACTGAACTGTGGGAAGGCCTGAACCCCTAAGCCCGGTCCCAGACTGTGATGCCCTAGCACTCCCCCAATGCTTAGGGCATAACTAACGCGTCACATGGAATCTGAACATAACGTCAATACCCCTTAAACCCTAAGCTCTACACTCTACACCCTCAACCGTAAACCCCTAAACCCTAAACCCCAAGCCATAAGCTTCTTAAACCATCTCCCAAAAAATGGGTTCCCAAAATGATACAAAATTCGAGCTTTAAAATCACACTTCCAAACATTTTCATGAGTGGGGAGGGGAAGTTTCGGATCAGGGGGAAAACTGCATTTGCCGCAGGAGAAAAATTCAACCTCTTTGTGAACATGCGGGATATGGGGCAAGGAGCAGTGCACGCTGCAATCCCCAACCCCCGTCAGAAGAGTGATACCCAGCTTGCTGAATCCAAGCCCTCAAACCACCACCATCAAAATTCGATGCCGACGATCCTCAAACTTCAAACCCACATGAGCCATAATCTAAACTCCTAGTGTCGCCCTTAAAACCCCCTATAGAGTCCCCGAAATAATCCCTAATAGGAGTTTAGAGTATGGCTCATATCTTCCAATTTGTTGCACGAAATTAGGGTGCCTGCCAGACAGGGTCCCTAATCCCTAAACGATTGCTTTTGAGAGGGTTTAGGGTCTCAGTGGGGGGGCCATGATGCGAAGCTCCCGCATGGGGAGTTGCATACCCAAATCTGCCTTAAATGGGGGCCAAACTTAGGATGCTGGCGGGAAAAAACAGACTGAGGGAATTTCCCCAACCCAAAGCCTCAAGCTTAAACCCTGAACCCTAAACCCTCAACCCAAGAAGCTCTAAACTCTGCATTCTTGACCCTGCGGAACCCGTTTTTTGTCAACGTTACGGTTTCTACCTTTTTGTTAAAACACTAAATTCGGGAATTTTGTAAGGACCCGGCAAACCCTATGCACCCTAGACCCTACACACGTAAACCCTATAATCTAACCAACCTAAACCACAAATCCTAAACCCCTAAACCCTAAACCCTAAACCCCTAAACCCTAAACCCTAAACCCCAAACCAGGGACCCTATGCCTTGCCAGGCCTCATGGGGCTCTGGGTGGTACTCTCTGGTCTCCCGCTGGCGATGGTGTTTGCCCAAGATCCGCTCCAAATGGTCTTTTGCCTCAGAATCTTGGGCCTTAAGGTCCATAGTTGAGGCGTTAGTCTTTGGGGCTAAAGGCTTAGGGTTTTGGTTTGGGTCTAGGATCCAAACTACGAACATGAACAATGTTCAGTGGCTTGAGCAATCTAGGCATTTCTAAAACCTTAGCCCCTGAGCCCTGAACTCTGGATTCTGAACCGTACATAATCATATATTGTTACATAACCCTGCTAAAACCCTTACATATCCCTTCTTACAAAGACGTTTAGAACAATCCCTGAACCCTTAATCTCAGGGTTTAGGTCGCCCACCTACGATGGCGGGCGGCGCCTACGCCCTGCGCCCTCTATGGCGACAGATCGACCTACCTGGTCCTGCCTCAGCACAGCCTGGGGGCGGTAGCACCCACGATACCGTACCGGAGCAGGTTCTCCTTGCAATCTACACTGGTTGCCCTGATAAAGTAATTACCCTAAACCCCGCTCCCTTTGTTTCTGGACGTTCCTGGCCCTCCTGGGGTGTCCAGGCCATCATCCAAGGGCCGAAGCAAGGTCTCAGAACTTCCCAGGCCCTCAGAAAGCCGCTCAGCAACCTCTCAGAAGCCATCCTGCCCCTCCTCCCTCCCCGGGCATATGGCCTTCACCTCGAAACCTTTTGCGGGCTCTGCGCAACCTCCAAGGACCTTCCAATCCTAATGTAAAGCTTTCAGAAGCCACTTCAGACACGACAACATAAGATGAAGATGAGATTGTGTTATTGACCGAGAGGGACCTAACTGCGTTTGGGTCCTAAACCCTCAAATGAATAGGTTTGGGTGGCTCGGCCACCTCATACAGCGTGGGGCGCGTGAATGACAATGAATGTGTTAGATGGCCTTCCACAGTCAAGCCATTGCAGCACCTCGCAAGCCGCGATGCATTCGACATCACTTTGCAGCCTCTTCCTTCGCATGTTCCACCTAACATCACAACAAAACCCTAGACCCTAAACCCTGAATTATAGGGACACCCCAACATAGACCCTCAAATACTATAGTCCTTATTATAGGGACCCCCAAAAAAGTACCCCTAAATCCCAGCTGCAACATATGGATCTCGAGCACGCTTCCGTGCCATCGCCACATGTTGCGCATCCAAGCCTCGGCTCTACACTTCACTTGGGGGTTTCCCATAATTCGGGGTACCTTCTTGGGGTCCCTAGAATAGGGACCATAGTATATTGGGGTCTATATTGGGGTCCCATTATTTAGGGAAACTACCACTTAGGGCTTGGGTAGGTGGTTGAATCGAACCTAGTAAGATAATATTCTTATATAAAATACTATACCCCAAAAGGAGGATATTATCTTACTCCAATTGGGTACCATAATATCCCCAAATAAAATACTACTCTCTTAGGGCTTAGGGGTTTAGGGTTTAGGGCGAGTGGGGGAGGGAAAAAAGGAAAACCGTTCTAAGGGATCATAAAGCCAAGATTTTGAGGATCCACTCTCCCACGCTCGCTTAACACCAGTAAGCTATTGGTTTCATCAAAGTTCAGCTGTCTACCCTAAACCCTAAGCCTTAAACCCTAAGCCCTATGGCGCTTGGCAGAATCTCATCCTCAAATCTAGAATTACTTTGGCATACGGTGGATGGGGGAAACCTGACACCGGTTCGGATCCCCTTTGTGCGGCAGTCCCTACGGGTTTAGGGTTTAGGATTTAGGGTTTAAGGTTTTGGTGCAAGATTCCATTCACAGTAGTGCTTGCTTGGACTTGTGGTCATCTCGTACTATCGCTACAAGGACGGCTGTCACGGTTACGACTCGGAATTGACTCATACATCGATGACTAGAACACCCACAGCATGCCACTATTCGTTCTCATGATCCACGGACCGACCTATACAGGTTACTAAAACATGAATGGAGGCGTGTATGACCAGTTAGAAGAAGCTCGTACCGTTCAAAACACAATTAATGTCATACCAAGTCAATATACCCTTTTGAAGCACTGCTTTAAAAAGTGGTGGGAAGATGCTTAAAGCCAGAGGGAAGGCATCAGACACGAAGCAAAAAGAGCCTTGTGGATCTTGGGACAAGGAACCCACATGCTTCTTGAGAGATTCGATCTCCTCCTGTTGCGCAGCGAACTCGGCCTGGGCAAGCCAGAACCTACCATATCCCTGGGGCTCCATGTAGGTACTATTTATAGGGTTTAAGGCCCAATGTAGGTACTATTTATAGGGTTTAAGGCCCAATGTAGGTACTATTTTATAGACTTCGAGCCCCAGTATGTACTATAGTCTAAAATCCTACTATAGCAGGGAGCAGCTTAGGATTTAGGTTCAGCATGGGGACCCTACGGATGTATGGGACTCATCAGATGACAACGGGAAACCTTACGAGGAATTGCGTAAGGATCATGTTTAATAATTAGCCCGAACCCTGGGCACTACAAGCTTCAACTATGAACCCCAACGCTGGGTGATGTGTCCCTAGAATCTCAATCATCTCTATAAAAAGATCAACAATGAACCCGGACACTCAGACCCTAAACCCTAAACCTTTAACCCTAAATCCTAAATAGCAGCTTCCATTCTATTTTCCATTATCCCACTGAACCTTAAACCCTAAATCCTAAATAGCAGCTTCCATTTTATTTTCCATTGTCCCACTGTAACTCCTATACCTTGGATCTGAAAAAGAAAAAAAAGCAATCTGCGCCTGCTGCAACTCCACCACGGTCTCAAGCTGTGCCACCTACACAAGGTTTTAAGGGTTTAGAGTTTAAGGTTTAGGGTTTAGGGTTTAGAGTTTAAGGTTTAGGGTTTAGGGTTCAGGGCTTTAGGATTTCAAGCACGGTCCCCTGCTACCCTCCCCATATTGTCCCGCCCCCCAGTTTCCCCCTCATCGACATATAATTGAGGTCACTTAAGCGGGGTTGCTGTTAGGGAAGCTAAAACAGGTTGCTATAATAACGAAAACCCTATCATTTGCCAAATACCCACAACATGGCAACTTCAATTACATTTCATAAAAGCAACCCATTAAGGGGGGAGTTAGAGCCCTAAACCCTAAACCCTAAAGGGGAAGGAAGGGATCCGCAGGACCCTTCGGCTGACAAAGAGGGTGCCATGGCAGGTTCATAACGAATACAGACCCACAACGCTGCGCACTCTTAGGGTTTGAGGGGTTCGGGTTTAGGGTTTAGGGCTTAGGGCTTGAAAATTTGTACAATGAGGGTTTAGACTAGAGATTGTAAAGGACCTCGGGGATGTCCATCGTTTAGGGCTTATGAAGAAAAGACACGTGTGACAAAAGTCCATTTGCCAGTAGAACCTATGCCCTTCTTGCGATCTCAAAAGACCGGCCGTAATCTTAGTAATGATTTTCTCAAGGTTTTGAGTATGTGTTTCCAATTCAAAGTCTAACTGCAGAAGACAGATGAGCTATAGTCTAAACTCCTAGTATCCACCCTTAATGACTTCCCAAAATGACACCTTTTAAGGAGTTTATACACTAAACCCTAAACTAACACCTCGCCTTCATCAAAAGGAACTCGAGATTGCGGGCGAGGTCGCCATTGGCGCTGTCCTTGTCCTTGCCGGGATTAGTTTAGGGTTTAGGGTTAAAGGTTCAGGGTTCAAGATTTTCCCCAAATTAGGGGTGGCATTTTGGGGAGCCCCATAGTAAGGATGATAATATATTAAGGTATGTAAGAAGCGGCGCCCTAATTTTGGGAAACTACCAATTAAAGGCTGGGTTCCAGCTTTTGATCATAAGGTAGGGTAATTATCCAAAGTACCTTTCCACGAAATGGTCGTCATGTAGGTTCCTTTTTTGGTTGGATTTGCTCTTTGAGTAGGTGTATTGTATTTCCATATGTCCCTCTTTTGCAAAGACTTTCCAACAACCGCCAAACGAAACTGAAGAAGCCATACAACTCCATCTCAAGACACGGCCCAGCAGGCGTGGTAGGCTGTCCGATCACAAGCAATAGTGGGGGGGTTCCAAGAATTCAGGATCCCTTCTCCGAAGTCCCCATAAAAAGTATACTATTTTGTGGTGTGGTTTGGGGCCCCTTTTTTCCTGCCATCCCAAAGTTCAGAGTCATGACCGTGCATGGGAGCTGCTCTTATGCATCGCCCACGAATCTAAAGAAACCCCTCGAACGCAGAATTGGTTTAGGGTTTAGGGGGGTTTAGGGTTTAGGGTGTAGGGTTTAGGGTTTAGGGTTCGAAAAAACACTTACCTGCCGTGGTCAGACTGCAGATGAAATGACATCACGCTGGCATGACGCCTATCATCATGCTTTATAAAACATGCAAAGTTATAGAGCGATGGACCGCAAACCTGTACAATTGCTGGCCTGTTTGGGCGTGTCTGGCTCGGGTATTTCATTTACCTCGCCGGCATCGTGCAGCAAGTTCTTCTCCATCAGCTCCTCCACCTGTAACCCTGAACCCTAAACCCCTAAGAGCTGTAAAATCAATAGTACAAGCCCGTTGTGTAAGAATACTAGTAACCCTAAACCCTAAACCAAGGTGTTCCACGCGAAGATCAAGCTCAGGATTTGGGGCTTACCACGTCTAGGACCAATATTGAAAGCACAGGAGCATTGCATTGCTCAAAGCGTTAGGTACACCGGACTGCAATTCTGGAACCATATGAGCTATGGCTTATATGGGGGTTTGTATAAGGGAGTGTTATAGGGGGCAATTACAGTGGATACTGGGCGTTCCTAGACCACACTGTAGCCCACATCTGCCTTCTTCACGACTTTGGAACTGCTGGATGCCGAGATGTTGACGGGCGGGGGCGTCTCTGACACCTTGAAAGCTTGCACCCCAGGATGCAACCCAAAGACAGCCAGAAACGCGAAGAAGTGAATCCGCATGGCGGGCACGGTCGCAAGATTTTGCTTCATTCAAGTCAGATGGGTCAGATGGAAAGCCAAAGAGCTGCGCGACAGGTTGGGTACAACGCATGCTCAATCATGTTGCTACGTCCCATAAACCTTCATGTACTCTCTTCCTGCAACATAGGCAAACCTCAGTAACCACCAACAATTTTCTATGAGATTCAGTCTACAAACTAGATTGGTTGCACAGCACTTTTCCAGGAGATGACTGCATAGGGAACCAAAGATCCACGTTCTCATGCTTTCCTCACGCTCCTACACGTCTGACAGGGAAGTAACGTATGCAACAGTCTTACAAACAAACAGGCCGCACACCCAAGATCTCACATGACCAGCACCAATAGCAATACATGCTTACCTCTGCCAGCAATCTTTGTACTGGCGCAGAAGGGATGCTACTCTTGTGCTACAGAGGTAATGAAAAATCGACCGAAATTTGATTGCTTCGCACGATTCGAAATATTCAGGACGCTCCGCACGGGAGCGCGATTTTGAATGAGAATAACTTCGA